GTTGTCCTGAAGGTTGTCCCCGTGTTACTTCTGAGACACAGGGTTGCAGGTTGTGTTGGAATGCGGTCCATGAAGAACTACTCAAGGATTGAGGCTCATGACTTCTGTTAAAACTTCCTTCTGAACTCTCTTTGCTCTAGTGTCCTCAGAGCCCAAGGCCAGGCGTCAGAGAGCTCTTGGGACAGGGTCAAGAGCTAAGGGCCTGGGTGAATTCCCAGCGCTCAGGTTCCCACCAAACTCCAGTAGAAAGAACAAATAAATCTCCATGACCAAAAGCTGTGTTTGAGCTAATGATTGTAAATTCCAGCCAAGCCCATGGGTAACAATAGAGTGTACTTCTGGGGATGGTGAGGGCCTCTAAGGTTAGGAAGAAGCTGGTGTGTGTGTATGTGTGTGTGAGAAAGAAAGAAAGAGAGAGAGAGAGAGAGAGAGAGAGAGAGAGAGAGAGAGAGAGAGAGAGAGAGAGACAGAGAGAGACAGAGAGAGAAACGGAGAGAGAGAGACAAAGACAGAGACAGAGACAGACAAAGACAGACAGACAGAGACAGAGGAACAGAGAGAGGACAAGTAGATGGGTTGGGGTAGAAATCACACACACACACACACACACACACACACACACACACCAAAAAAAAAAAAAAAGCCACTAGATATTAGAGCCATTCAGACTATTATCTGACTTAAAACATACGTGATGTATTTCTAAACCCCATGGCAGTGAGGCCACATAAAGTCTCAACAGAAGTTTTGTTCTTAGCTCCAAAATGGGCAGAAAATGTTCTCTCCTTTCTGCCCCACTGATTACCAGTTCCTGCCACTTGGTTCTGTCACATACGCAGTCCCACCTCTGAAAAGCCGCTTCTAGGTCCACCACCTGCAGGAAAGCCCAGCCGCCCTTGTAGCCAACGACAGTGGACAAAGACAGTCATCCCGCCCAGCAGCCTGCCCCTTGGCCAGCTTGTGCCCCCAAAATTACCTCAAAGGACACCTCAGAGCTGCCTCCAGGGGTTCTGCATTCTCACTGCTCCCTGAGGATTTGCAGCAGCGATTTGCCCTCAAGCAAAAATGGAAGAGCATCCCAACGGGAAGGGAGTGGGAATCTCCTTAGTGCTCTGCCCACTGCAACTAAGCACCAGGCTAAGCCTGTGATGGTGTTCTAAGGCCAAGGATGGCCTCCGGAGCAGCTCTGGCCTAGGAATCGTAGCGACCATTCAGCCACAGCGGCTCCCTGTGGAGGGTCCCTGCAGTGGGGTAGAGGAGAAGCATCCAGAGGATACAGGAACCTGAACACACTCCAGAGCCCCGCTCCAGATCTATGTGATCAGACTGACCTGGGAGAGGACCCGGGTAACTGCATTCTTTCTAAAAGCTCCCCACATAGATCTTGTCCCTAGTTAAAAACTATTTAAGTTTCAAATAACGAAAGTTTTCTGAGTGATACATTCATTTACTTTCTGCAGGCTATATCAGGGTAGGTAGTTTTGGAGTTAGATATGTGTTCAAATCCAAGTTCTGCCCCTCACAAGCAATTTATTTTTGTAAATGTTTAGGTAAAATTCAGATTGCCAAGTTTGGCCCGGCCCTACCTGCCCAGTGGACAGAATCATCACTTATTTTGTGTTTCTGGGAAAGGGGGCCCTCTTGTGGCCATACGTGCATTACGACAGATTGCCCTTAGAAAAAAATAGTTCTTAAAATAGAATTTACTAAGGTTTGAAAGAAGTTTAAACAACGTTTAAAGGTAGCTTCTATGCTCGCGCTTCTTCCCAGGCTGTTTTTTCACTCTCTGGTTCTGTTTTGGTCAGACGTATTGACTTCTTCCCGCTCTTACTCCTCGACATTTTAAGCCAGGCTGCTTCCTGAGAAAACCCAAGCAGAAAGGACATAAAACCCCAACAGAAGAGGACAGTGCCCCGGTCTGCTGGAGTAGTGAGCCCCCAAGCCCGGATGAGGAAGCCCGTGCAGACAGGTCTCCTGGCTGGATACACTGCCCTTCCCGCAGGCTGGTGCATTCTCTCAACCCTGAATCACTTGGGGCAGGAATTTTCTTCTTCCCAAAGAACACACAGCACCCCGTGTCGGGTGGACACCGGCTTCCCTGACTGCACACAGTGGGCCTGCATCTGTCAGCAGCAGGAGGAGCAGCTAAGGACTCCCTTCTCCAAAGGCTTTCTTGATTGATTTCTAGGACGGACCCTTCCGTGGCTCTGGCCTTGCCTCACTGGTTCCTTCTCAGTCCCTAACTCTGTACCTTGGGAACGGCCAGATCTTAGTCCTCTGACTTTTTTCAAACCAGCTGTTACTATGTTGTCCAGGCTGGCCTTGAACTCATGGGCTCAGGTGGTCCTCCTGCCTTAGCTCCCTGAGTAGCCAGGACTCCAGCTGTAGGTTACCACCCACCTCCTCTGGCTTACGGACCTTCACGCCTAGGTGATCCTTCATAACATAGCTTTAAAAAACATCAGCATACTGAGGGATCCTATATTGGTCTCTTCAAACTGTATTTTTTTTTTCGGGGGGGGGGCAGAACCGGGGATCAAACTCAGGCCCTTGTGCTTGCCAGGGAAGCGCTTATCCTACTAAGCCATCTCCCCGGTCCCCAAACTGTATTTCTTGGTCTGTTACTATCCAACCATTTACTCACCAGCTCTACATATACCATAAGCCTCTCAAATCTGCCCTGATTCCCATTTTCTTAAAAGCTTTGGGCTTTTTTTTTTTTTTTTTTAAGACAGGGTCTAGTTCAGGCTGGCCTTCTCATTATATACCCCAGGCTGTCCTTGAACTCCCAGCAATCCTCCTGCCTCGTTCCCCCAGGTGCTGGGATTACAGGTATGTGCCACCATGCCCAGCTATTTGGGGGTCACCTTTAATTCCCTTCTCATATCCTATATCCAGCCCACCAGTAAATCCCTTCAACTGTATCTTCAAAACAGAGCCAGTAAGATAGCTCGGCAGTCTAAAGTGCCTGCTTAGGCAAATTTAGGCAAGTGTGCAGGGACCGCAGTTCAATCCCCAGCACCACATGCCATGCCAGCCTGCCCCCAGGGTGGGCTGATCCAGCCCTCCACACACACACAGGTAATAATTCCCAACCACATAGCAGCTCCTGTCCAGCCACCAAAAACCACTGAATGGTCCAATGCCAGTTTCCTGATGGCTCTACCTGCCTCCCCTCAGTCTACATGGCAGCTTGTGCTACTTTGAAAGGCCCATCTTGTGATCTCAGTCGCCTGAATGCAAGAAGAAAACAAGTTTGAGGCCTGCCTTGGCTACATAGTGAGCTCAAGGCCAGATCTGGTCTCATAGCAAGGTCTTTTCTAAGAAAAAAAAAAAAAAAAAAGTCTCTTCCTTGCGTGCATAGTCCCTAATTAGCACTTGATTTCATTCCTAAGAGCCAAAGCCTTCAACACCCCCTCCCCCAACGCCCTCCACATCTGGTCCCACCAGTATCCTTCTGATCACATTGTTTCCTTCTGCTGAAATTGCACTTCTCCTAGAGAGGCCCACGTAACTCACTCCTTCTCCTCCAGGTCTCTGCTCAGAAGCCACCTTCTCACACAGCAGCTTTTCTGATGGCAGAAGCTTCAAATAAAATAGAAAGCTGAGCCCCCTACCCATTTCCTAGTGCTTCCTCCCTCCCTCCCACCTGTACGCTCACCACTCGCCTCCACTGAGGACAGGAATGTTGTTCAGCTTTTCTGTTCCTGGGACCTAGTGTGTCGGTGTAGCGCACACACTTGAGATTTGGATGACTGTGATGCTCACTGAAGAGTGAACTAAAGGCAGGTAGAAATCAGGACGCCATCCTACAGAACATGAGTATCATTTAATCCCTCAACCACAAACTGAACCCATTTTCTAATATGCATCGAGTAAAGGACATCCACAAATGAAAATGCTCAAATGAAATAAATATGAAAGTTGGTCCAGTTTGGTCAGAGCACTTTTTACCTTTCAATAAAAGATTTGAGTGGAATATTAATAACCTACAACGTACCCCCATAAATCTGGAGTGCCTAAACGTTCAGCCTAGATTTCAACACGTTACTAGGTCATTGGAACTTTGATCTTTTCAATCCTTACACCCGAAAGACTTTGTATGAAAAGATAGTACCACCTCTTTTCATTCTTCCACATATATAACTAAGCCAGCTTGAAAAACAAGAAGGGCATGACAACTTCAGAACGCATCTAAATTGTATTTGAATCAAATAGCTCATTATTTAATTACAACTCCTCAGTAAAAAAAAAGTGCAAACAGAATGCCAGCTGGGGAGGTGTGGCTGGGCCAGTACCTCTCCAACCAGCTTAAATGGACTGATATTTGAGGGTGGTCTAGGATCCCCTGGGATTCCTGAGGCCTTTTGAAGAATCTGCAAGGCTCAACTAATTTCATGGCACCAAGACACTGTTCATTCTCTGAAGTGTACAGTGGAGTCTGCTGGAGATGCGACACCCCTGGAGTGGATGCTGGAACAGGTATATTTCTTCCATGACACCAAACACAGAAACTTGCAAAAAATGTAAAGCAATGGCACTCTTTCCATTTAATGTTTCACAAAAGTTATTTTTAATTTTAAAACATGTTACTTATAACCACTTATGTTTTGTAAATTTCTTTGCTCTAATTTCTAATCTGATGAATACTGAGCTATAATCCACATAAATTCTTTTCGGAGAGCGGAATTTATCAAGTGAAAAGGAGAAAGATAGTTTTGGTAGTTGCTGCCTTTGACATACACAGTAGTATACCTTCTGTTACCATTAAAAAATCTGTCAGGGTCATGATGGCATTTTACTCCCTTGTTTTCTCCACAGCCTTTAGATGCTACTAAATCTATACCAGAACTAGCAAGGGGATGGACCTGGTGGCACATATCTGTAATCCCAAAACTCAGGAGGCTGAGGCAGTATGATCCCTAGCTTAAGGTCAGCAGGGCTACAAAGTGAGTTTCTGGACAGCCTGAACTGCACAGTGAAACCATGTCTCAAAAAAGACAAAAAAAAAAAAGCAACGAGCAAGGGTCTTTCACACCTCCTACCTGTGCTAAGCATAAATCACCTGTGATCGCACAGCCATGAATGGCTATGCAGTCACTGAGATGCTTCAGCAGACAGTAAAGGCTTGCTCTCTCATCTAAGTAAAACAAATTTTCTATCACTATCCTGTTACCATACCTAGATATTTTCACTGAATTTTGTGGGTATGCTCAGGATGGTATGAATTAAAATATAAATTATGTGGCACATACATCATTCATGTTGCAAGAACCTAAAAAAGCTAAGGGTAAGAACTCATCCTCCAGCTGAAACAAGCATAGTTAAAAAAAAAAAAGAAAAAGAAAAAAACAAAACCTTGGAAGGAACTTAGGGCTGACTAGAAATACCATTAGGATACAGCATGCAAAATATTCTCTTCTAAGGTTGTGCAGCTCAAAGAATATTAATAAACATCCACAGTATTTGAAACTGACACAAGTGATCACAAAAAAATAGGCTTTAAATAAAAATGCCAGAAAGGAACAAGATACATATAATTTCAAATATTATACTTCCTCCTTCCAACTGACGCAGTTTTGAGAAACTTCACATAGCATGTCTCAGGATGAGTAGCACCAGCAGGGGTTTATTTAGTGATGGTTCGTGACTCACACAATACAGGGAGGCCAGCTCATTTATTCAAACTGAATCTAAATCTCAGATCTCTGACTTGACAACATAAAAAACCTTAAAGACACAAATCCCACATTATATCAGTGATGGCTCAAAATCAGTTCTACAACTTCTAATATTCTGAGCTGGCAACTACAACATGACAAATGTTTGATCCAGTTATAAAATTACACTAGATTTTCCTTGGCTACCAAGCCTTAAACAGATCTGAAAAACCGCTGCTTTACAAAGGCTTTTCACCATAAACCCACTGCTTCCGGTCTCCAGCAACAGTTCCTTCATCCCCCAGGAACACTCCAGATAAGAGGCATTTTCTCTGATCTGCTTGCCTGGGTATGAAAGAACTCAGAAAGTAAATTTAAAGAATGAATTTAATTAAGATGCCAAGAAAAGTTTTTATTGCAAGCACAGTGAGCAGAAAGAGATGTCTTCTCACAAAGTGGCCACAAAGTCTGCCATTCACTAAATCTCTTTGACAACCCTTCATTGGTTTGAAGCACTCGAATGAGCTTCTGGCTATCAAGTGTACATCATTTCTGCCATGTGAGACATTTTCTTGGGAATATACAGGTAATACTCCATGTAGCCTGATAGGTCCTCAATGGTCACATCATCCACATAGACTCGAGCTTGCTCAGAACAGGAGCGGGGGGAGCCAGAGAGAGTTCTTGTGTGTAGCGACTGAGAGTAGTCCTCTAGTGTGGAAATTCGCTCTGGGACCAGGGGAGGGACATTCTGCAGGCCTGAAAAGGAATACACTTCCATGTCATGCCATCTCTTACACTGGCACTCCTTGCCTACACAGGCGCACTGCTTGCCCTGGTTTAACTTGGAAACAGATCGAAAGTCAGAGAGATCATTGGCCTTGAGAGCTGCTTGAGAGACTTGGGGAGCACCAGAGGAGTCGTCGGTCTTAATCTCCGATGGGAGCCTGGGAACTGAAGTTCTCAAAAGCTCAACAACTGCCCCTGTATAATTAGCATCAAGAGAAGTACAGCTTTCTCCCACACTGAACTCTTTGGGGGTTGAAATTCCCAGCCCACTGCTGCCATCAGGTGTGTCAGTCTGGCTTTTATGCTTGAGTTGGCTGCTGGAAGGAGATGCTATGGTACTGCAATGTATGAATTTTGGAGGATGAAGGACAGGAGACTTTGAACGTCGACGACGCTGGGTTCTCACTGCTCCTCGGGAAGACTTCCTTGTAGACCTAAAACAGAAAAAAAGGAAAAATATACAAAAAGATGTTGGAAAACAGGGCCCTCCTAGCAGATTCCGTATGATGGCTGGACATATACCACCTCTCAGTTTTTAAGTTTAAAGTCACAAAACTGTCCCTAACCTGCCACCATTCCCAAGCTGCCTGTTTGTTTAGTCTCTCATTAATTCCAACATTCCTTATTAGAAGATACAGAAACAAGAATGAAAACTCAATCACTTGGCCTGAATATATGGTGTGAAACACCTGCCTGGTCTCCATGCTGGGACTGGGATCCTCTGACCAGTGGGTGTGGACGAAGAACCCTGCAGACACACTGATCTATACAGTCTAACGTGCCCTAAGCCTGAATGCAGCCGCAGTGCAGAGCAAGCCAATACTAGAACAGCCACTTCACCAGTATCAGATCTATGATTCATTTCTTATCATTGGTAACAGCCAATAAAAAAAAAGGATTTAGATTCCCTGAGGTCTTCAGATACTAGAAATTAGATACAGTATATAATTATAAAACATTTAAATAAAAAAATTAAAATTAGCTGGCCATGCTTGAATATGCCTATATACCTAGCTACTCTGGAGGTTGAGGAAGGAGGATCATGAGTTCAAGACAAGCCTGGACAACTTAGCAAGACATCTCAAAATGAAAATGGCTGGGGATGCAGCTTATGTGAAGGCTCTGGGCTCAATCTCTAGCACTACAAAATACCTAAATAGAATACACGTGCTAAGAATTACTGGACTAGAAGATAAATCTGATTTATAACATATCTGCAAGTAGTTGCTTGTGGGTCAGATCTGGTCCTTCTACTTGCTTTGGAGAGGGGAGCTAGGGATTAAACTGAGTGCCTTGCCTATGCTAAGCACATGCTATACCTCTCAGCTATACCCTGAGCACCTGACCTATTTCTGTAGTTTTAAGACACTGCTCCAAAGGACTATCACTGAGAGCTAGAGACCAATCTGGGGTTCCCTTCCATTATCCCCTTGCCTGCTTTACTAGCCAATGGGCAAGTCATGTCATTGTCCAGGGCCCACAGCAGTTACCACTTACATGTTGGCACCACTTGCTGGGCATCGAGAGTTAGAATCCTGATTCAAGACTCCAACTAATGCCAGGCTATCTAGAGGATAGTAGTCAAGGGGCTGGTACTAGGGTAAACCCAGATCCACCCACTCCACTAGGCTCTCCCCCCAGGGTACTAACTTCATCCTGAGGTTCCATCAACAACTGAACTCCAAGTGTGTATCAGCTAGTAGGGCCCATTCCAGGGAAATAGCACAGGAGTATTCTCTCTTATGAACTAAGGACCTATGAAATATCTTTGCATTTTGTCTTTTGGCCTCCAAAGTGTAATATTTACTATGTAATCCTTTTAAAAAATAGCTTGTCCACCCCTGACCTAAAAGACAGTAGAGAGAGGAATTTAGAAAAAATGTAGATGTCAAGAGGCACAGAATATTGAACAAGTCTAGAGTCTCAATGAAAGACAAGTGATTTTTGAAGATAATGCTTGAGAAAATTATCTGAACCAATGAAAATCTATAGATACAGGAAAACTGGAAGAGGATAAATAAAAGAAATCCACATCTAGATTCAGTATGGCGAAGAAGTTGTAGAATACCAAAAACAAAATAGATATCAAAAGCAGTCAGAAATAAGACAGATTTCCAAAAGAGTAAAAAAAGCTTTCTAATATCAACACAATTAGGGAGATAATCAATAGTGCTAAAGAAAATAGTTGTCAATCTGGAAGGATGATTTTAGTTGTATCAAGTCCATCTTTCAGAAACAAAGACGAAGTCAGGTACAGTATGGTGGTACCTATCTGTGATTCCTCATACTTTTAACAGACTGAGGCAGAAGGATAACCAGTTCAAGCCCAGCTTGGACAACTTAGTGAAGACACTGTCTCAAAACAAAAACACAGTGTGAAGGCCCTGGGTTCAGATGCTAGTACTACCAAACAAAAGAAGAGGCGGAGGAAGAGGAAGAGGAACAAGAAGAGAAAGAGGAGGAAGAGGAAGAAGAGGAAGAGACACAAGAAGAGGAACAAGAGGAAGAGGAGGAAGGAGGAAGAAAAAACAAGACCAAAATGACATAAATAAAGCACATTTACCAATAGGACATATGACATAAATTGTAGAAAACAGCTTATTTAATTAGGCTGCTAGTGCTAGGGGAAGGGCCTGAGATAAGAACTGTGAACAGCTGTATTGATAAGAATTAAGCCTTCCAGATAGCTCAGCAGATTAAAGCACCACACAAGGCCCCCCAGCAGGGGCCCCCAACTTGCAGTGCTAGCCCCAGCCCCTCCCCCGAGATGCAATTGAGACTGGGTGTGGTGGCACATGCTTATAATCTCAGTGCTTGGATGCTGAAAACAGGATCACTACAAGTCCAATCTGTGTAGTGAGACCCTGTGCTATAATACATTAAAAAAAAAAAGTGTACTTAAAAAAAAAAAAAAAAGCAGAATTAAGATAAGAATAGACTGAATAGATACTGAAAAGCTAGGAGTGGTGGCTTCCACCTAGAGTCCCAGCAGCTAAGAGGCTGAGGTAGGAGGATCATGTGAGTGCAGGCTGGGAAACATAGTGACTTCAACGACAGCCTCTGAATTACATGAGACATGTCTCAAAACATCATCATCAACAACAACAAAACAAAAAAAGACAGTGAACTAGACTTTGGACAAAGAATGAACTTCCCTGGGTAATATGGGATACAGCTAATTCCCTACTAAAGAATTACAGGCACTTTACTAACCGCCTGTGGTGTTCTGTGGGGGTACCAGTTTTGTCTTTTTGAGACAGGGTTTTGTTGTGCAGTTGAGGCTGGTTCTAACTGGCTTTGCAGGTGTATCTGACATCTACTAGGCTGGGAGTTATATTTTTCCCCCAGTATCACTAGGAAAGCTCTACAACTGGGATGCACCAGCAGCTCAGGGGACATTGCTGAAATGTATGGTATGTGGATTATGTAATGCAGAAAGCCTATTTACTATAAAGGATTGTTCACTGAAGGAACTATTTTAAGAAGGGGATACATACTATATGGAAGGTCTAAGATGTAAGAATAGCAAGCAGGGAAACTTTATGTAGATAAATGTAAGTGAACACTACTTAATAGTAATAAACCCTAATTAAAAGTAACAGAAATGAAATACTGGGTAACTACACAATGGAAATCATGCAATCAGAACAAGAATTCTAAAGAGGAGGCTTATAGTATTAACTTTTGTTTTTGCTAATAGCATACATGGAATTGGGAATGTTTTTTGACAGCTCATTTGGAAGTTTTAGGAGGAGAGCACTGCCATTTGTGTACCCCTGACCAAGGAAAAGGTCCTCCTCTACTGGGGGTGGTTGTCCTCTTCAATGGAACACACAGCTGTAGGGAAGACATACATGGAATAAGAGGACACCTCTCTAGCCAACTACATCAATCCTGGCAACAGCTCAGTGTTGAGGTCCAAGGTTCAATTCCCAGTATAGTGGGTGCACATGTATAACATCTCTTAAACTTTCACTCTCTCTCCATTTTATTAATATAGTAAAATTTAAAGACTAACTACTAAAAGAATGAAAAGAATCAATATATAATTTCTAAACCAGTATAAGAAAAACTGGCATGGAAAAAGTAAATAAAACATTGCAAATGATTTTTTAAAAGATAAATAGAGCAGGGAAGATAAAACAAAAACAAAATCCACCAGAACAAAGTAAAACAGTTAAGTCCAAATAACACCAATAACCAAAATAAATACAAAGCACTCAGCAGCTAAGAAGATCCCAGTGATCAGACTGAATCTAACAGAATAAGCCAAGCCACATGCTATTTATGTAAGACACATCTAAAATTTAAAAAGAACAATATGGTTGAAATGGCAAAAGACATACTATGCAAACACTAAAGGAAAGCTGGACTAGTTAAATTAATTCCTGACAAAAATCATATGCAAGGCTGGCCAGATAGCTCAGCAGACTAAAGCACCTGCTTAGGCAGAGCACAGCAGCCAGGATTCAATCCCTGGCATGCTGTGCCGGCCCCACCCTCAGGGTGCGCTGAAACAGTGATTGAGACTGAGAGTGGTGGCGCACGCCTGTAATCTCAGCACTTGGGAGGCTGAAAACCTCCGTAGACCCTGTACCAAATACATTAAAATAATAATAATAAACCATACACAGTAGTACCTCAGTTCACGAATACTTCTGTTTGCAACAATTCAGTTTATAGACAAAAGCATTCAACACAGTTTTGCTTCCATTTGCAAACTTCATTTAAGTGACAAACACAACCATAGTCATCTTCCTCCAACACAAACACAGCTATCTTCCCCAAATCATAAAACAAATTACCTTTGTAAACTGAGACAAAGTTTATAAGACGGTAATGGTTTTATAAAAACTACATGAAAGTTCCAATTTTCTAGGAGTATTTTAAACTTGATTGAATCTAAGCTTTATGAACTTAACAAAAAAAATCCCCAAATACATCAAGCAAAAATATAAACAAGAGTAAAACAAATTCACTCCCATGCAGGAGACTTCAACAAGTCTATCACTAATAAGCTGATGCACATAAAAAAAACCAAAATCTCCCAAGTTTCACTCTATAACCCTACACACCCTCTCCCCATTTTGTGGTATTAAAAGAATGAACCTGGGCTGGTGAGATGGCTCAGTGTTCTAAAGCACCTACTTAGAACAAGCTTCACAAAGCACAGGGACCGCGGTTCAATCCCCCAGCACCACATGCCAGCCAGTCCCGCCCCCTGGTGGGCTGAGCTGGCCACACACACACACACACACACACACACACACACACACATAAATAAATAAAATTAAAAAAAAAGAATGAACCTAAGACCTCATTCATACTAGTTAAGGGCTCTACCTCTAAAGTACTCTGCCCCTTTAAAGTATGAGAAAAGATCTCGATCCACTTCCTGTTTTGGCCTCACCCCACTGATGATTCTTTGATCATCCTGAGTAGCTGGGATTATAACAATGTGCAGCCACGCCCAGCCTCATATGCCAAATTTAAGTCTAAATGAATACAGAACTCAAAAACAGAAGAGGCATTCTTCTCCAACATATGTACAAACCAGCCATAGAAAATGTCTCAGCACTTTTACGAGAGGAATACGTCCTCTTAGTTGCTGTGTGTTAAGTTCTACATCACGGAATACTCTTCTCCCCCCCCCCCCCCCTTCTGGGTGCTCAGGAAAAAAAATCTGAGTAATATTTTAAGGTATTATATAAAAATCACATCAATATGAAGTTCTTACCCATGCCAACTGTCTTTAGATGGACATGTGGTTTTAGGTTTGGCATCATCTACTGCTGCTCTGACTGATGCTCTAACACTTGGACCTTCTCCAACAGACAGTGATGCGATAGACCTGAAGACAAGAACAGAAATTTACTGCTACAGAAAACAGTAAATGAGAACATATTACTCTAACCCAAATACCATTTTTAGTAAATACCATTATTTCTAATAGTTTGTATTTCTCAAAAATGCACCAGATTTTTATATAAATTTTCCTCCAAAACTAAATTTAGAAGATTCCCCAAAGCCCAAGGTTGCAAAATCACAAGCCAAGAATGATTCTTAAGTACAGACAGCAGCAAGATATGAATTGACTTTTAGGCTGTTTATCTGGGCCAGATCCCGTCTCACTTCCAGACCATTTATTTTATGTAGGCAAATCAGAGCTATGGAAACTAAGTTTAAGAGCAAAACTTCTAGGAGTTTAATACAACTTTAAAATGAGTACATACTTAAACAGTATGTAACTTTCAAAAATATTCTTATTTTTTGCAAACTAATACACTTGAAATATTCAAGTCTTTAGTTTAAAAGAATATAGGTAATAGTTTCTAGTAAAGAACATTAATAAGTATAAAAGAAAGAAAAGAACTATCCATAATCTCACAACCTAGACTGCCAATATTTAATTTCGATATAAATGCTTCCAGATTTAATACATACACAGACATACACCAATACAACACATACACAAAAGCACACCTGGCTCTTACTGTACATGCTATGAAACAAAAAATATTTTAGAAAAAAATTCATTAAAACGATGCTCATTAAAACATAAATTAAAAGTAAATAAAAAGTATGCTAAATAGTCAACAATAAAAAATACTATATTCCCAGGGACAACCCGCTCAGGTCCCCCTCCTATCCCTCTCTTGGACAGCTTTCTTTCCCTCAATAAATATTCTGCTCATAAAAAAATACTATATTACATAAATATAGTGTGTCTATATGAGAATATAGTAAAAATTACTTGTACAGAAGAACTTTTAATGATAAGAGCATGTTTATAATATCAGGAGAAAACAGTACATAACACCAATACTTATGATCTCATCTAAAAAACTATATGGTACGTACAGATAATAAGATGGACTATGGTACTTTTAACTGGTGTTTATTTTTTTGTTTTTGTTAATTTTTCTCTAATACACAAGTATTATTTTAGTCAAATATAAAGGATTATGTTGTTTTCTAATAACAAACAACTTAGGAATCAAAACCTGTTGAGCAGGATCATACCAAATTTCTGGCAAGGCTTAGTTCATGTTTATGAGTCAGTCCCTCAGAAGTTCCATTTGTAAGCCAGCAACAAAATGAAACTAAAAACGTAGGTATTTATACAAGTCTTATTCTGCTTAGTCATGCTAATGATGCACTCCTTCTATTCTTACTCCGCTTTTTCCAGTGTTTTCCAGGGCTCTTTCTCCTCCTATAATTTCACTCAAAGTGGATCACATACTACAAATATACAATTTTTGTCCATGTATTGTACAGATACTTAGAAGGTATTTTACAATGGTCCAAGTAATTTTTAGCAGCATCAAAATGGCTTAGTTTTACATTTCAATTTCTTACAACATCAGCAAAAAAGTCTGCATATCAAGAGTTACTTAAGTAAATTAACCCACTAAGGGGCTTGTATGTGTACCTGTCTGTGTATTCATAGTATTTTCCTGCTTTTCAAGTTACTTCTTTATCAGAAATCACAAAAGAATACATTTCAACCACAATCTGGAACTATCTGCTTTTCTGCTTCATTTCCATTTCACAAAATAGCCTATCAAAGTATTGACAGAAATGGCAAGGGGAAAAATGTTACGTTTTCAAAGTATGGTAGAAGCAAATGTCAACTTTTTTAACACCTACAGCACTGCACAAATCTATTAACATTAATCTCATTTGTTAGGCCAAAAATAGTGCTAACTGTAGGTAGATAGCTACTACTGAGGGCCCAGTAAATAACAAATGTTAGTGATTATAATTACTATTTGTTATAGAGTCTTCTAGTCAGGTTCCATGTTTGGTTTCCATTCATAAAAATAAAAAAAATTCTTATATCCATTGAAATTGTGAGTTTCTAAGGCTGGAATGAAAAACTGGGGCAAGAAAAGACTAACACAGAACATTTTGCAAATGGTGAAATATTAACATTCAGACAGCAGCTGGTCTGCAGGTGTTCTAATTAGTTTGACCAAAGGGTCCAAGATTATTGATCTCAGTGACAGAACCCTACTGAATAGAGGTTTCCATAGTGATAGACTCAGCAAGCAGAAACCATGAAATCAACAATGTCTTCATAGATTTCTATTGGACATAGATTTCTATTCACTTTTGGTGAAAAATACTGTGATTCCCTAGAGAAGCATGAGGTCATCCCTCATGGCATACTGCTTGATAATCTTTGAAGTGGGTTACCTCCACAAAGCTAAAGAAAAGCAAAATAATCTTTTATGAGTATAAATAAGCTGCAATTTTCAAATTTAACAGAAGGGTTTCTTTTTCAAGTAAAATGACATTGTGCAGACAAGTAGAATCTCACACTAATAGTGTTCATATTTTCTATGAATGATTAGGAATGTAAAGATGAGCTCACTAGAGAAAAACAGCCAGTTAAATCTAGTAAACAAGTAACGCCAAATAATGTGTTACATATTTAATTACCCTGATGCATCCACTCTTAATTTCTTGAAAGCAGTTTGTAGACTCTCCTCCTCTCCATCCTTGGCTTCAGATTTCATTGTTAAAGTTTTTACACTACTACAGATGTTCCTGTTAATACTAAAAAATAAAAAAAAAAATTTAAAGATAGAATGAACAAAACGAAAGGAAACAGGATCAAAAGTATGTCCTTTATTAAAAAATCTATACTCTTGGCTTGGAATACAGCTTAATGACACAACACTTTCTTAGTGTAAGAGTACAGGGTTCAATTTCTAACATTATCAAAAACCAAAAAAACCCATCTCTATATTCCTGATACCATTAACAAACAAAATAGTTATTCATTACCCATCTATATTCCTGATACCATTAACACAGAAAATAGTTATTCACTACAACAGAATTTAAATTGTCCAAATGCTTGATACCAATACCCCCGTACACTTTCAAAACTAGATCATCTAAATCTAGCCATGGTGGTGGCATATATCTTCAATTCCAGTACTTGGGAGGCTAGACTGAGGCAGGATTAAGAGTTTGAAGCTAGCCTGGACTACAAAGTAAGACCCTATTTCAAAACAAATAAAAAAAAAAAATCTATGTTTTACTGTACTCTTTTAACAAACATAAAAAAATCACAACTGTAGATATCTATGAACAAACTGATCTTTATATCAGAAAAAAGTTGAAGCTATAGCACTTTGATGTTTTGAAATACTGTCTAGTTTAACCCTAACAATTCCAGTGAAGTATAACTTCATGACGTGTGATAGTCATTTCTCTACATCAATCTTGACCCAGATATCAATATGCATGCAGACATTTGAGAACAAGATATTATCCTTGTAAAATGGATTAGAAACTTAATTCAATCATTACTGATCATTCCATATTCTACTTTTAAATTGACACTTTTGTTAAGTAGCTTTAACTGTCGTTACTGGACAAGAAAATGAACTATACTTGCAACTCAAAAAGATAAAGATTAAACAAAAAAAGATAAAGACAGACCTTTAGTCAGATGCTAATGAAGCAGGGACTAAAAAACTACTGTTCTATAGCTTTGGGGGGGGGGGTGAAACAGGGTCTCACCATATATTCCAGGCTGGCCTTTAACTTAGTGACCCTCCTACCTCAGCCCAAAGTGTTAGGATTACAGGCGTGTACCACCACATTCAGCTACAGTGCCTTTAAATAATCTCCTTTTAACTAGTTTAACTCGAATTCTACATTTCTTTATTTGTATACTTAAACAAGAGGGATGGAAGCCCAAGCAAGCCAGTCTGTTAATAAACTCTTGAAATCTAGTCTTCCCAAATTAGTACCAAATCTTGAACAACAAATACAGTATACAGGAAAAAAAATGTTTAAAAAATTTTGGATGCACCTTACCTTATTTCTAGCCTGATATCCCTAACCCCACCCCACCCTCACCAGAGGCATAATGTCTCTACCAATCCTAGGATTCTCTTTGATTTCTTATCTGGTCATTTCTCAGGGGTGAATTTACTGTTACTGTTAGATCCCTACCATTCCAAAGGTCAAGTGTCAATAATAAGTCTAATGAAACCATTCAGTATCACAAAGCAGTAGCATAAGGCTGTAAAGAATCAAGACTCTTTTCATTCTTTTTTTTTTTTTTTTTTTTGGTATTAGGAATTGAACTTAAGAACTTGTGCCTGCCAGGCAGGAACTTGTGCCACTGGGCTATATCCCAGGCCCTTCACTCATTTATGTGTGGAAATTAAAGTATTTTAGACATATCTCTCTGGAGAAAACTGAAAACAGTCTCAAAAGAATGACTAGCTTTCAACTCAATTTCATGAGGCACAAACACACTCTCTGTATATATTTGGCGGTTTACTTAACCAGTACATAAGTAAGAAGGAAACATCTACACAATTCACTACTTCACTGGTCTCTAATTCTCAATTTAGAGTGAGTTCCCCCAAAATATACAATGGGGGGGGGACGTTGCACAACGCTCACATGTTCTGAAGTTCCACACCATCTAAACGTATCTGAAGCTCCAGAGCATTTAAAGAGTTGTAGTTCTCTTTATGGTTAAACACGCAGCCTAGGGACACTCACAGAATTAATACATTATCTAGGCCAGTCCCTAAAATCCCCAAGACTCCACAGAAAACCTCTTTTGGGCTGCTGTAGAAGCCAGTCAATATTTAAGTACACCTAACAAAAACTTTCTTGTCCTCTAGGAACTTACAATACATGGTAAGATGTTCTGCATGTAAATAAAAATTTTAATTACAGAGTGTGGACTTAATAGTTGGGCAGGTGACCATCTTAGGTATTAACATAAACTTAACATTCTTGTTGACATACTAAAAGACTCATCTAAAAACCAAGACTGACCAAAATAAGAATAAGAATCTAGATAAGGATTAAAACTTTAGGAATGAAGTCCTGTTTAAACTGTTTTCGAATTTCCAGCATTTTAATTATTCACCTTTTTCAGTTACTCTAATTCAGAGCCAAGGCATCGTGGGGCGTGCTCTTAACAGCTAGATCAGAACATATTTGTAATTAGGTTTATTTATGCTTCTCTGTATTCCTAGTTTGCCACTTACAGCAAGTTATACAACCAGCTCTGTATAATAACTATAACTGGTCCGCCCTTATTCATTAGTACCAAATTTGAGGGAGAAATTTCTGCCATTTTCAGCGAAGTGGCTTCCTGAACAACCTCCAAAGTGATCAAACTGTAAAAACTTATTAGAAGTACTTTGCATTAAGTCAAATCACATCGCAATTTAACACTACCTCGGATTTCCCCCCAAACTTCAAAAACTGCCACGTAAATTTCATGTATGTTTCTCCAAAAAAAGGGAAATTCCTGGTTTCTCTGTGGTACAAACAGCATGTACCACAATTTAGTCAACATCTTTACATTTTAACCAAGACCTCCCGAAACCCCAAACCTAATTCCACATTTCCAGGACTTGAGAACAATGCGGGACCCGCATAAGCTTGTCTTCACAACGTTAAAAGGTTTCGAAACTTTCCCATACCACAGGAAGTGTGGAGCCCGAGGAAGAAAACCCAGTCCAACAACTCTCGAAGCAAACAAGACCAGACCCCTACGACAAAACACATCCACACCTCTCTGCACACAACTCCTACTACGGCACGGCTCCCAGTTATTTCTCTTCAACCACAACCTGGGTCCGGTAACAGGATCGGGCGAATGAATGGTCAGGACCGGGTGGGCTGGGTGCGCGGGGTCGAGGCCGCCCGGTTTCCAGTTGGAAAACTACTTCCCAACAGACTCCTCGAGCCAAACGAGAGGCAGGAGCAGGGCGAAGGCGCTAGAGAGGGAGACCAGAGCCGAGCCGAAGGGGCGGCCAACGAGGATGGGGACCGGAGAAGAGCGGGAAAAGGCGGGAAGGAGCAAAGGGCGGCCGAAGAGAAGGAAAAGGGGAAGCCACGGCTGGGCGGGAGAACGCAGAGCGGCAGGGCGGGGGCTGGGCGCGGACAGGCAGGCGGGAAGCGGCGAGAGCGCCGGGTCGGGTAGGTCCGGGCCACGGCGGACTAGGGGCCGCGAAAGGCCCAGCCTGAGGCGGGCCCAGGGAGTCGGCGCCCGGAGACGACGCGACGCGACGCGACGCGAGCGGGAGGGCCCGGCTGAAGTCTCCCGCGCCCCAGCCGGACCCTGAGGCCCGGACGCCGAGCCGCTGCCGCCCCCTATTACATCAGGGCACCTAACCTCCTCGCAGCTGGGGCGCTCCGGCGAACCACCGCAGTCAGTCCAGATCGTCTCTCTCCGACCGCCGCGCCGGACTGACCCGGATCCAAACTCGCGGGGGGCGGCCCGCGCCTGTGAAGTCGCACTGCGCCTGCGTCACGCACGCACGCGCCCCGCCCCCTACTCATGCTCCTCCCACACCGGTGACTCGGCAGCGCGGCAGGCGGCGGGTGCGCAGGCGCAGAGCGGCGGCCGCGCCTCTGGGACTCCCAGTCCCCGCCCCCTCCGAAGCACGTGCGCTTACGTCATTTCCTGTTATTCTTTTCGCTCCCTTTTCCCTCCTCCTTGGCGTGAAACCGGCTTTTGGGGCGTGCCTGCTTCCTCTTCTGTCAGGTGAGTGGGTGGTATTCCTCGCAGTCTCAGGTCCGCCTCCGCTTAGCCAGGCTCTTCTTCGGCCCTGTCCTCCACCTGGAGTCGCCGAAGCAACAGAATTCCGCTGGGGTGGAGCAGGGTGCCCACTAAGCCTTCGGACGCTTGGCAGAATTATTTGATACTGGAATCTGGACTGCCCGGGACAGCGCCTGGGCTCGGACCGCAGCCCTCTTCTACTGGGGAATGTTTCCGGGCCGTGAGAGAGCGACGGTAATTTGGACTTAATGAGGCCACGAACGCGAGGCCGGAATTGGAATTGAGATGCCTTCGCTTTTGATGTTCTTGTTTGACTGGAGACAACCGCTTTTTCCTGTGGGCCTCGGTTTCTTATGGCGAGTGAGAAAGTTGGACGGGAACAGCCAGTGTTTTGTCTCCAAGCTTGGACTCTTGAGAATCTGGTGAGAAATCCAGCCCCTCTTGCCAGAGAGATGCACGTAGACGCCACATTTTGCGAAAAGGTTCAGGCAGTTTATCCAAATCGGTGATTTTTAGGGATTATTTCATATTTATGATTCTGATGGTTGCTCAGATAGCAAGCAGGAAAGGGGTTAACTGAAGCACCTGCCACCTCCTCCATTGCTGCACCTGTTCTGCAGTTCTAGCTATTGACACCTCTCTTCATCTGCCACTCTTCTGCTCTGCTACTCAGAACCTCTTGGGAAAAGATGACTTTCCTCAGTGGTTGTTTCTGGCCCAGCCTTGTGGTGAGGCCTTTGCCCTGAACCCAAACTGGGGAAGGGCGCCCCCTTCCCCAGTGTCCCAGTACCATAGGTGTAGTCACTTAGCTGAGTAGGCGGCTGAACAGCCCACCAGTACAATTCTTGGACCTTGGATGGAAGTGAATCTACAGTTCATTGTACAAGCAGTTCCCAATTTAGATTTTTTTAAACTTTACTGTGAAAGACATATGCATTCAGTAGAAACTGCTTCAGAGTTTGATGTTTGTTTGTTTGTTTGTTTGTGTTACCTGGGATTGAACTCACGACCTTGCAATTGCCAGGCAAGCACTTTCTCTATTGAGCTATCTCTCTGGCCCTCAGAGTTTGAAAGTTGATGTTCCACCTTGAGCTCAAAATACACCATAGGGTACTCTTGCCGTGCTAGGCAGGAAAAGCAGTCCCTGTGATCACAAGAGTAAACCCATACTTTCTAGAATACTGTATTAAATGCAGTTTTGACTTATGGTGGGTTCAACTTAAGACTTTCTTGGCATGTGACCGCACTGTAAGTTGAGCATTTGTATAAAGTTGCTAAACATAAAGTATGTGGTGAGCCCTGGGTGAAACATTTAAATTCCCCTTGTTCATAGCTGAGGCTCAAAAACTGACAGCTAATGGGGAGGCAGATAGTTATAGCCTGAGGATGCTCACAATCATGGCTACTCTGTACACAGCAGCATTTATGTACATTTTTCTCTTATTTAATATTCCTGTGGCTTCACACATCCTACAGATGAGGGATGACTGTTCTGGCTCCCTTTGTTCTGTGTCACATTGTACTAGTCGAGTTTAAACTGTTGAAGAAAAGCCTGTAACTCCACAGCTGCCCTCCTGAACATCTCTTGAAAAGAAAAAGAAGGAAATGTGCATTTTTTCCCCTTAAGAATTGCCAAATGAGTTGCATCAAATGTGTCTTTGAGCTGCCATTTCAAAATACTGCTTGAGGTAAAACTTTATACATCGTTGAAGACAAGGACTCTGTCTTGGTTACAATTGAATTTCAGGGGGTTAACACGGTTCTCCAGTATAATTGCTCAATACAATTTTTTTTTTTTTTTTTTTTTGCTCAATACAATTTTGATGAATTCTTGTTTTATCTTATTTTTACTGCTTACAGCAGTCAGTGTGTTATGGTTTGTGTCTAGTAGTCCTCCCAAAGCCTCATGCAGTCATGGGGTGGGGACTTCTAGAGTTTGTAATTAACTCATGATCTGCTGGGATTATGTGTGATCCAAGGCTGGGATTATGGGTGTGAGTACTTCCCCTAGCCTGGGGCAGAGAGCCTGAATGTAATGTAAGAGACAGAGAGACAGACTTCTGTAGCCATCGCTCCTTCTTGTTGTTGTTCGGCCACCATGAAGTGCTGCTCTCTGCCCTGTACCCCTCTGCCTTGGAGCCAGCTGAACGTGGACTGAAACCTCCAGTAACTGTGTGCTAAATAAACCTTTCCTTCCTTCATTTTGAATGTCGGGTATTTGTCCCAGCAACGAGAGAAAAGTAACTAAGACACAGTGCTAAAAACTTAAAAAATGTAAAGGGCTCCTTTTACTTAAGTACATCTCCATAGAATTAAGGGCTTCCTGGGAACATGACTCATTACCCAGGGAGCACTTGGAAGGTAAGAGCCCTGTGGGAACACTGTTCATTCACACTCATGACACGGTCTCACCTTTCAAGTATGTTATATATAGTACTGGCTCACCGTGCAGGACATCATGACATTTTGGGATGCAACAAAACATGATCTGACTGAACAAAATGACTGACCTGCCTTGTGCACCACCTTTTTTATAGGAATTAAAAAGAAAATTTATTTATTCATTTATTTGATATAGCATCTCACTACACAGCTTGGATTCGTAGTGACCCTCCTGTCTTAGCCTCCTCAGCACAGGGGTTACAGGCCTGTGCACCCAGGGTTCTGGGGCTGGCATGGCATTCAGGACCGGGGATCAAACTCAGGTCCTTGCACTTGCCAGGCAGGCACTTAGACCACTGAGCCATCTCCCCAGCCCTACCAATATCTTTTTTGGCCATGCAGAATAACCTGAACTTGCCAGGGATATAAGTGCCTGCCTGGCAAGCACAAAGTCCTGAATTTGATCCCTGGTACCAAAAAAACCCCAGAACTTGTATGTGGACCTTACACTCGGGAAATTTACTTGGTATTAATATAATTTATGTTGTAATGCCATTTAATAAAAATGCTGTATGGTAGATATAATATTCCTTAACAATACAGCTCCTTTTTATAGGTGCTATAAGTGACTAAACAGGGGACTTACTTCTATATACTGCAAAACAGTTTATAGGAGGATAACATGTTATTTTAAAAAGTAATTTTGGAAAAGCCTAGTTTAAACTCGTAAAAATGTATTTCCCCAGACTAGTTAAATATCACGTGCTTTCTCTTATATAAAAACCCAAAATATAAGTAAAGAAGAGATGATAGGACCCTAGAAGATAGACATTTGAAGGTAGGGAACAGAATTAGGGGAGAGAATGGAATGGTAGAAGAGGGTAAAGTGATTGAGAGTGATCAATTTATTTAATATGGATTTACAAACTTCCCAAAACAGTGTTACTATTCTGTAGTAGAAAAATGAACTAGGGGCTGGGGATATAGCTCAGCAGGGTAAGTGCCTGTCTGGCAAGCACAAGGTCCTGAGTTTGAACCCTGGTACTGCAAAAAAAAAAAAAAAAAAAGACATATATATGTGTATATACATATAACGAAAAGTTTATTTCTCTAATGGTATGACATCTGTCTCAGTTATTTTTCTCTTGTTGCTTATTGGCCAATACTCAAAATGAAGGAGGGAAAGGTTTATTTAGCTCCTAGTTACTGGAGGTTTCAGTCCATACTCGGCTGGCTTCAAGGCAGAGCAGCACATGGCAGAGTGCAAACTTTCATGATGGCAGCAAAGAGCAGAGAAAGCAGAATAAAGTAGCAGCAGCAATGGATACAGAGGGGAAGTCTTGTCTCCCTTAAATTGCATTCAGGCTATCTGCCCCAGGCTGGGTGTAGTACTCACACCCATAATCCCAGCAGTACTAAAACCCATAATCCCAGGCTTGACCATGAATTAAACTCTAGAAGTCCCCACCCCATGACTGCATGAGGCTTTGGGGGGACAACTAGACATAACAACTACCACCTTACCAGTTAGTAATCTAGAAATGTAGCCTTATGTTAGGGCTCAATTAAATTTATTCCTTGATACTGTTTTTAAAATGACCGCTAGCTGTGATGATGCATGCTTTTAATCTCATAGCTTGGGAGGCCAAGCCAAGAAAACCATGGTGAATTTGAGGCCTGCCTGAATTATGAGGTCAAGGTCAGCCCCAAGGACAAAGCAAGATCCTGTCTCAGATTCGTAGGTAGGTAGGTAGGTAGGTAGGTAGATAGATAGATAGATAGATAGATAACTTTAGGGTAAAAGGTAATAACCAATCATTAGTGTCTTGACTGGAAAGTGTGACCTGTTTTCATCTTCAAAATTGAATTGTAACTCAGGTATTTTTACTGTGTCTTTTTTATAACTGAGCAAACTAAGGTACAGAATAGTTAGATAATTTGTCCAGGTTTATGTAGCTTCTAAGTGGCAGAGTGAAGAATCAAAACCAGGTGACCTGGCTGTATACCTTTCATCCTGATAGATGTTACACTGCTTTTCTTAGCTTCCCCACCCACTGTGGTCACCTAACTAGACCAAGGATACCTGCTTTCACATGGGAAACACCAGTGGGCTTGAGGAAGTTGGCTGCCAGGGTCTGAACTGTCCTCCACCTATATGCTATGCTTGTTTTGCATGTTCTTGAACCCACCAGATATTTCCTGCTCAGATATTTTGTATTTTGGATATAGCCTCTACTGGAACACTGCATATCCACAACTTATATCTTAAGTCCCTGCCTGCATCATTTCCCAGAGGGCCTTCCCTGGCTATCCCAGCAGCTCCTTTCACTCATCCCTTTTCCCTGTGTTAGTTTTCCATTTACTACTTATTATATCTGTCATTGTATGTTAATTATCAGGTCTCCTTGTTAGAAAAGAACTTACCTGAAGGTAGATTCTGTATCTTTTCTTTTTTGTTTGGGTTTGTTTTGATTTTGGTTTAAGTTTTTTGAGACAGTGTCTCATTATGTAGTTGAGCTAGGCCTTGAACTCACTATATATTGTTGGCTGGCCTCGAACTCACGTTTGTCCTCCTGCCTCAGTCTCCTGAGAGCAGGGATTACAGGTGTGTGCCACCAAGCCCAGCTCTTCTATCACTGCTTTTACTGAATCTAAGGTGCATGTGTTTCCACAAATTAGTACTCGGAAAATCGGGATGTATCTTATACTTGACAGTGTGCCCTGGTTTAACTGGTAGTATTTTTTCTTTTTAATTTCCAGTAAATGATGAGCCTTTAAAAGTGACAGTCTTAGAGTTTGTGAAAATGCAGTATATCCCTACAGCCTAAATTCTTGGGTAACACATAGTTGGCATGCAGTAATTCCTGGCCAAAGGAATTGAATGTTTGCTGTGTTAAAACTATTTAAATACTTTTAAACCCCACAATTATCCTGTTATGAAATACCTCATGTTACCAAGATAGTGTGGTGCTGAGAACTGAGCATGTGCAGTTTTAGAAGGCTGCAGGAATGGAGAGCTGTGCCAGTCTACGTGGTGGTA